ATAATAGAACATTATCAAATCTGACGTAGAGACAGAAATCCTCCATTGAAGGAGAAAAGAAAAGAAAGAAAAAAATAAGAATATATTAGAGAACATTGAAAAAACAAGGAAAAAAAAAAAATCTTTCTTCACCTAATTTACTTTCGTTTCCTTTGATTTTCCCTTCTTTCCTTTTACTTACTTAAAAAAAAAAGAATCTCCTTGTTAAGTTTTTTATATATTTTATTTTGCTATCACAGACGGTTGTCCTCTTCAAAAATCGTCTTAAGCGTCCTGACAGAGCAAAGGTAAATGCGACACTCAGATCCTTAGACATATTGGGATGGACAACGACATATTCCAAAAGCTGAGCAGAGTATTGCAAGACAGGATGTTTTCCTTGGTAACGAAGAAAAGAATACTGAGCTGTTATGTGACATCTGTCCTTCTTAACGGCAGCGAATGTTGGATGATTTCCTTAAAGATAAAAAAAAAGAGACTAGGGGCGACGGAAATGCAGTTCTACAGAAGGATATCATGGACCGAGCGTGTTAGCAACGATGAGGATGCAAACAAAGAGGAGGCTTATACTTAATATCAGAAAGGGGCAGCTGAAGTTTCTGGGACATATATTGAGGAATGAGGGCTTGGGGGAATAGAGAGAAAGAGAGACAAAGAAAAACAGCACTGGACATACCTAGCGGCTTCAGGCAAGTGGATGACAGAACAGTGTCTGGGGAAGGTGGGAGAGAGAAGGAACTTGTTGAGAGCTGCAATGGATAGAGGGAGATGGAGAGCCATAATCGCTTATGTCCTGAAAGAACACGACACATAGAAAGAAAAGTCAATGCTACCTAGCTAGTTAAACAATAAAAAATATGGAATGTTAAAAGAGATAGTATACATACATACATGAATCATAATATATATATATATATATATATATATATATATATATATATATATATATATATATATATATATATATATAGTTGGATTGATCTGAATTTGTGACCTAGGGTTTCACATAATCGCAAATAGCGTGAAACTCAGGGTCACAAACTCACACGAATCCAACTAAATATGTTCGCATTATCACTGACATTGAGCGCTTTCAAATAAGTACAGCCCATATATAATGTATAAATAATATATATGAAAATTGCACACACACACACACACACACACACACACACACGTGTTTCGATTTAGAAATAAGTCAACTTTTCCTCTGGCACATCTATGAAGAGATTAAGTTGAATACTAATTTCCAATGGAGAATTTACAATGTTTGTTCGCTACATTCTTCCTGGTAATAATCTCTATTTTGCTTACATGCTTATCATCCTGTATTCGTCAACAACTTTTTTCGTCAACGAATTTTCTAATAAAGCGATTTATAGAACCAGTCGACGACTAGTTAAAGCTATCTGGTGTAAGAAGCTCTCTCTACTAGAAAGAAAGCTTTGAACGAGTAAAATGCCTGATCTGGATAGATGAGTGTTAGAAATTTTGGATAATATAAACATTGGATGATAATATGGTTATATTTTAATAACTATACGTACACTTCTTGCACACACACAAACACACATCTATGCACACACATATACATAATTTTTTTTTTCATCAAATAGTTCTGTCTTCAGGTAGGCCAAGGCTAGCAGGTTCATGTACGCCGTCTCATACGTAATGGGTATAACTGAAAAAAAAATGTAAATATATCCATTTAAATGTAGAACCACCTGGATAAAGGTTGGCACCAAGAAACATCGGGGTCTGGAATATAACAAGTAAAAAGTATTTGACATTTACAGTTAGATAAATTTTAATATTTATTAATGCTGTATTTTTAATATTGTTTGTATATTTTTAATATTGAGCGCGATATATAAAAATATCTGCTTATGTTTTTAAATTTTAATTCTTAAAACTCAAATATATATATTCCTGAGTATTTTCTACAAAATTCGAACATGCTGTATTTTTAATATTGTTTTTATAATTTTAATATTGAGCGCGATATATAAAATATCTGCTTATGTTTTTAAATTTTAATTCTTAAACCTCATATATATATATATATATATATATATATATATATATATATATATATATATATATATATATACCTGATTATTTTCTACAAAATTCGAACTTATAATAAGTAAAGTATTTATAAAAGGAATATTTTCAATTCATTGTCAGTCTTCTCAGTCCCTTGACCATGTGTGATCATAGGTTTACCGCGGCGCTGAGCACCTGACTAACTCCAACCATATGTCTCGGCTGCGTGCTAGTATCTAAGCCTCTGTAAATGATGTTCTAGTCCACTAATTGACATTTTTCCATTTTTCCTTTTTTTCTTTGACTTTATACTGTACCTTGTATGATGTCCGTGGGGTGAGTGTGACATTTCTCTAAATACATCATCCCTTATAATGTCATATATTTCTTTAAACTATATTTTACACAGTATTTTTGGCAAATAACGCCAATCCAAATTCAGTCCTTTAAAATTGTCGCCGCTGGTTCTTGATATAATGAAAAAGAACGAAGAATAAATCTTCAACGTTCAAAATATTATTTTAAAACAGGGATCAATACAAAAATAGAGCAATAGATATTTATTATGCACTGTTAAATTAGAACATGTAAATATCCTCTACAAAAGTGTACATTTTGTTTCAACGTAAATAACGTTTCTTCAGGTGGTAAAAATGATGGTACCTTCATTGTTTGTCATCTGAAGAAATATTGTCTTAACGTTGAAACAAAATGTACAATTTTGTAGTGGATACGTACATGTTCTAATGTAACAGTGTTGGACATAGTTATGCTAACTTTTTTCCTCGTAAACGATTATATAACATTATATGAACATTTCCCTTATCTCTTATTTTAAATATCGAATATATATATTCTATAGCTTATTTACACACATCATTTTTATTTTAAATATTTTAGAAAAAAATCTTAAAAACGCAAGTATTTTAGTTACACATACATGAATTCATTCATAATTTCTCTGTCTCATTTAATCAATGAAAATATCAGACCGTCACAAAATTATTGGTTTTGCTGAAACAATGATTTCATATGTCCATCGCCTTCCTCTTATTTAGTTCAATCATCGTGGCCTCATAGAGTTACATATTCGATTAAAGCTGGTCAGTATAGACACTCGTATAAGTATATTTAGCCGTGAGCAATGCCCTGGCCGTCCATTTTCCCAAATCCCATGTCCTGTCAAGTTTAATTTCATCGTGCTTCCGATTATCTTCCAATTTGGTATCACACTCTGTTAAGACCAACACAAACAATTCTCTCCTTCCAGGATTCAATATCCGCCTTTATTTATATCTTTTGATTTAACTCTATTCACTCAAAACACACACAAACATACACTCAACCGCGCGCGCTATCTCTCTCTCTCTCTCTCTCTCTCTCACACACACACATATATATATATATATATATATATATATATATTTCTGAGATGAGGTATTATGTACATTATTTACATTATTCGGACTACTGTCCTCATCTTTGTCGCCATATTTATTACAACGTTTCGGCCGTTGTACGCTACGGCCTTTTTCAGGTGTTTCGACATTCCAACCAACTGAACCCTTTATTTCGCTCACTGGGGTAGATTGTTCTAGATCCAAGTGCCATGTCCAGCGGATGTCAGTTATCAGATATCTCCTGTTAATTCTTCCACTCAAAGTTCTCCAAAGTTCTTAAAACATATATTGAACTCATACTGAGAGCGTGAATTTGAGAGGGAAATTAACAGGAGATAATTGATAACTGACATTCATTAGACATGGTAGGTGGAACTAGAACATGGCACGTGGAACTAGAACAGTCTACCCCAGTGGGCGAAATAAAGGGTTCAGTTCAACATTTCAACCACCTGAAAAAGGCCGTAGCGTGCAACGGCCGAAACGTTGTGATAAATATGGCAACAAAGATCAGGACAATAGTCCGAATAATGTAAATAGTATATATATACATACTATTACTCAATTTTAGGGACAGGGCGTATTAAAATAAAATATATATATATATATATATATATATATATATATAAAAAGTGCACACTGATGTCAGCACCAAGTGCAGCCTGTCTGTTTTATGTTTGAAGATCGCCTGAAGATTACGTTTGAAACAGGCAACACATTGTTGCATTCTAATGTTGATCCCAGTGTCCAATTTTATATTATATATGTATATATAACAAATTTATATATATTATATATATATATATATATATATATATATATTATAAAACTTGTGTGTGTGTGTGTCTGTTTCGTTTGTATATTGGATCGGATTTACAACATTTTTCAACCGATTTCAACAAAATTTCACACGACTACGTAAAATTACCTTGCAGTGGTTCTGACAGCGCCCAAAATTGGAAAAACACAATTGTTTTTGCACGAAATCAATTTGAAAACACGATTAAGAGGCATCGCTGTCGAGAATGAAAGGGGGACAGCTCATATCGAGTTATACTTATTACAGAACCCAGGTTGTTTTTGAGTGTGTGTGTGTTCGTTTATATATGGGATCGGATTTCCTACATTTTTCAACCGATTTCAACAAAACTTCTCTTTTTGGGGGGGGCAGGGAGTGTTTCTTATTGTCTTGCAAATTTTTTTCTTTATTTTTACATTCAGAATGCTTTAAAAATTCCATTTACAAGACAATTGTTTATAATAAAATTCTATTCAATCGGTAGACTAATAACGATTAAAACAAAGCATTTGTTTGAATTTGGGTTTGACCAATTCGTAAAAAAAAATCAAACAAAAAAACAACTAATTAAGACATGCTTGTCCCTCAACCTTAAACAATAATCTTTGTCAATTTTATTTTTCAGTCTTTATGATGGTCGATACTTGATCTATCTCTTACTGTTACATCCCCGGGCAACGCCGGTCTCTACTGCTAGTATGTTATAATATCACTACATTTGTACTGCTATTACACTTTTCGCCTATCTAAGCTTACCGTAACTGGTATTCCCAAGTGATCACCCATCTATTTACTAACCAGTCTCAATGTTCCTTAACTTCGATGATCGTATGTGAACCGGTGTTTCAGCGGAATAAGACCGTAAGTCATACACTCACACAGGCACCCCTATATATATATATATATATATATATATATATATATATATATATATATATATATATATATATATATATATATAAATTTATGATGTTGGTGGGACCAAGAGACAAATTGACATAAAACTTATCTCCATAGAAAGAAAGAAACACCAAAAAAACACCAGCCCACATGCACAGTCAAGTGGTCAACGCCCAGATTATCTAGACGATGCAAAGAACGCTTCACAATATGAACACTTAACAAAGGACTGTCCGACTCATTATTGGAGTTTCATGTTCTTGCGATATTCAGACGAGTAGAATACAAATATATATATATATATATATATATATATATATATATATCACACGCGGACATATGTATGTGTGTCTATTATATGGGTTCATATTATACGCCCTTCCCAAATTAAACGATTATTACTTTGTTATCAACGAGATCGCTAACATGCTTCTCGCAGTGACGTCAGTCTTCTCAAGGGATTTAGCCAGTTTTTGTATGAGATGATATACAAGAATATTCTCACCGTACATATCAATTTACTAATGTAGAGCAAATGTGATAATTATCAGGGACCTTATCAGGAAAATCGGGGAAACCTGATGTAAGAAACTTCGTTTTCATTCCTTTCTTTGATTTCTTTCACATTTTCTTTGATTTCTTTTCTCCTTTTCAACACCTTATTTTGATATTGTTTTAAAGATCTTCAAAGATACAGTAGAGTCTGCAGAAACTGCTATGTTAATAAGAAAACAAATTGTGCTTTTTGTGTTTTTGACCATAATATTTGGTCGATTAGTTTTATTTGTTCTGCCTATATATATTGTAATGTTCCATAAAATTGTTACAGTTCCTATGTCTGTATCGCGGCTGGGTGATTTTCATACTAGTTTCCTGCAGTTCCATTGTATTCCAGTAAAATTATTATTATTATTGTTGTTTTTGTTATTGTCATTATTATTATTATTATTATTATTATTATTATTATTTCCTTTTATTTCTGGTGTGTACAGAGACCTAAGGTTAGAAATGAGATCATGACATTTCCCACTGAGAAATTTAAAACGACCAAAAAACAAAACAAAAAACAAAATAAAAACAAACAAAAAACAAACCACAAACATATTTTACATAGATAAACCGATTTATATGGTATGGGCTGTACACGTGAGAACAGTTTTTTTTTAAATTTCTTTAAGGCATGGACTTCCAAGAATCCCTTCCGTTAGTCTAATAGAATATTTTCTAACCATTCTGAGGGCTCCAGCTACAACAGTGATTGTTGATGTTCCCATGTTCTATATTTGAGATTTCGATTTCAAGGTGCTTGCATTTTGATAGCTTTTTGGAAATCTTCAAAGATGCCGTGTAGCCTTCAGGGATGGCCATATTAATAAAGAGACATTTTTTTAATGCAGTCTTTAATAACAATGGCGGCTTGCTTTGATTGTTCTGTCTTGAGTATTGTCTAGACCCATAAAATTGTAACAGGACACATCTCTGTAACTGGGTCTGCGTGGTATTCATACCAATTTCTTTCAGGTTCCTTCCCGTAGAAATTGCAGATTTTCCAGTGCAGATATTAGCCCACTCTGTCATGCTGGGATTTATATTCAGTGGGTGCCAATACCGTGTAACCTGATACAAGATGATCAATTGTTTCTGGGTAATTATCACAGAACCTGCATTTTGGTCTAACACAATCTTTTAGCATGTGTGCTTGATAATTTCTAGTTAAGAAGCATTGGTCCTGTGCAGCAAGGATGAAACATTGTGTTTCAGCTTTTAACCCTGCACTACGTAGCCACTGATGGGTCTGGGGTTGATTTACCTCAGCTTCTTTGGTACGGGCAGAGTATTGGCCATGAAGCGGTTTATCTTGCCATTGTTTCTGTATCTGGTCGGTTGCATTTGTCTTTGCATTTTTTTTATTTTGCAGCTTCAATCGCTATATTTTGTTTTAATTATTATTATTATTATTATTATTATTATTATTGTTGTTATTGTTGTTGTTATTGTTGTTTTAATTTTCTTTGATTTCTGGCGTGTACACATTTCTTTCCGGGTCCCGCCCAGAGACCTAAGGTTAAAAATGGCATCATGACACTTTTCACTGACAAAAAGAAGACAAAAAATGCACATATTTTACATAGAGAAGCCCTTCGTAAAGTGTGGGCTGTACTTGTGAGAAAAATATTTTTGTATTTCTTTGAGGCATGGGCTTCCAGGAATCCATTCATTTAGTCTACTGGAATCTTTTCCACCAATCCTAGGGTTCCAACTACATCAGGGATTGTTGATGTTCCTATGTGTCACATTTTTGAGATTTCGATTTTAAGGTCCTTGTATTTTGACAGCTTTTTTAATATCTATAAAGATATATTGAAGACTTTAGGGACTGCCATATCAATAAGGAGGCACTTTTTTGTTTGTGGTCTTTAATAACAGTGTCTGGGTGGTTAGCTTTGATTGCTCTGTTTGTGTGCATTGTGTAGTCCCATAGAATTGTAACTGGGTCTGGGTGGTGTTCATACCAATTTCTTTCAGTTTCCTTCCCGTAGAAATTGCAGATTTTCCAGTGCAGATATTAGCCCACTCTGACATGCCGGGTTTTATATTCAGTGGGTGCCAATACCGTGCAACCTGATACAAGATGATTAATTGTTTTGGAGTAATTATCACAGAGCCTGCATTTTGGACTAACATAATATTTTAGTATGTAAGCTTGATAATTTCTAGTTAACAAGCACTGATCCTTTGCAGCAAGACAAGGATAAAACTTTGCGTTTCAGCTTTTAACACTGCACTATGTAGCCACTGATGGGTCCGGAGTTTGTCTACATGAAGTGGCTCATCGTGCCATTGTTTCTGTATCTGGTCTGTTGCATATGTCTTTGCTCTTTTTTAAAAGTATTTTGGGCTTCAGTTGCTGTATTGTGCTTTAATAATAATAATTATTATTATAATTATTATCATTATTATTATTATTATTATTGCCAAATAAATTATAACAACACTTGAAATAGATTTGATTTCCTTTCCTTTTGTTTACTTTCTCATAGTCCTGATGCTGACATATCAGTAGAAAGCATGGACCTAATACTTATTTAATTACTTTAAAGGCATTCTTGATATAAAAACAAAACAAAACAAAATAAACAATAATGCTTATGACCAAGAGTAAGAGTAAGAACAACATTGGGAAATTCAGAAATTAATGGAATTCATGAATATTTAGAAATGGTAATATATGTCGGGTAAGAAATGTCCGGCATTCATTAACCGAGGTGACAGTACTCATGTCGCTTGAAAATGATAAATTCTTTCAAACAACTTTTCTTCAAAATAATGACCAGTGGTGGTGGTGAGAGGCTTCTTTCCTTTTTCTAACTCTTTCTGTTTGAAGTAATCTGGAACGTCAACATCTATATTATGCCATTATATTGTCATCGAGTTACATACTGTATCCATTGTAATTGTTGCTTCCGTTGAAGTTCCTCAAGTGATGTGGTATTTGTTATTTGGTAGAGTTCATTGTAATTCTGTCATACAATTAACGAGGTCTGAAAAAAGGATTTTTAAGACTTCCTTCGCTCATAGCCATGTAGAGGGGTTGCATACAGCTGATAAGAAATATCTATATTTAAGAATGTGTTCGGTGCCATACATCACATCCATTAGAATGCCTCCATTTGACGATGGCTTACCGCCCATATCGAGCCTGGTAAGTACATAGATGTATAACCGCCCAAATATGAAGGTGCCGTCAGCTTGGATATGCGGGTGGTATAATGGATAATATATCAGAATTCTTTGTAATGTCAACGATTACTCGATGTCACTTTTGTAATGATCATTGTAGTAGAGACATTGTAACCGCAGATACAACTATAGTAAAGCCGCTGAACAATACTGGGTCAGACGCCTCGAATGACACTCGCACTAATAGTACTTGCTCGATAATGCTCGCTCGAATAGTATTCCGTATAGGGATCCGAATAAATAAATAGTATAGTGAATATAGTAGAGAATAGCGGTCCATATAGATATAGAGGAGATAATAGAAGTGGAGATCCGAATAATAATAGAGGATAGAACAGAAATAACGATCAATTAGACACACGTTAAATCCCATATATGCGTTTCCTCTATGGTCACGTGGTCTACTTAATTCAATATTGGGATCGCCTGTGTTTGCACACTGGCGATCTATGTTCAAACTCAAGTGTCGGCTGTGACCCTTTATTCCTATAGAGCCGAGTTGCAATTTCATTTATGTTCGTTATATTCACTTAGGCGCAAATACCACTGGGAAATTTATGAACCTATCTCTTCTAACCCCAGTCATGCGTTAATTAGTAAGACCTGTATGAGTAAATCTTTATTATCTATAAAAAAAGCCATAGGATCTAAAATTATTTCCTGGATTTAAATAACGTGAAAAATGTTGATAAGCCGTAAAAACAAATCAATCTTTCATATGTGGAGGCTATTTACGAACATGGTGCAAGTTATGTTAATGCTTTGGTTTTGTAGCAACTGGCGGTATTGTGTGAAACTCCCCCTAGCGCAGCCTAATCTGTTTTAAATTAACTGATTTCCTATACTAAATTTGTTTCAACTAATGCATAAGCGGATGTAAATTAATTGTCTGAATCTACGTATCATCACTGCTTTCATTCCAATGACAGATCATAATTTATATTTTGGAAGGATTTATCTTTAGTTTTACTTCTTGTAACATTTTGTAGCGATTAGTGATTTTTTATTCAAGATTCTTCTAATCCTAATCACGAATACATATGTCATCAGCATAGCCCACCTCAAATACTTGCATCGTGTGGGAAAACATGAAGGTAGTTTTCTATTAGTATACTCATTTAGGATATGGAACGGGATTATCAATGACTGTCTTCCATATATATGCTTGTATATGTGCAGAACATAGTCTAGGAAGAGATTAAACAGATTGGGACTCCCATT